TTGGTGGTGGCCCGCCCCGCACCCAAAAGAAGAAGGACCAAAAGTCCCTTCCGTCGGCCGCCCCGGCCGAAAAGAGGGTAACAGGTGCTTATTCCTAGAATCGCTTAAAATCACTTAAATGAATATATAGAGAAGCACGTGTGAGGTGCTCGAGATTACTTCCAAACAGGCTCTAGTTGTTTAGTCTTCACACACTTTTTTATTTTATTTCGGTAACTGTCTTCATACACTAATTTTAGTTGCTCAATTGACTTGATACTTAGGAATTCAATGGTATCATTGCCCATAATTCTTATAGTGCGACATGTAAAGAATGATACGAACCCTAGCAGGGTTGGCTTTATGTGTCAGTTAAACTATTTGTTGGCATGTAAATCTGTCTTTGAAGGTACAGTTCCCCTTGATGCATACATGATGGACTTTGTCCTCTCCGAGAGGGGAGATGGTGGAATTTTTTTACAGTAAAAATGGGATGGACTACCGCATTCCAGTAGTTGGAGGAGTTACGAAGGTGTCACGAATGCACATTCCATTCTGCGTATTTCTGCAAGTATTTGTATTTGTAGTGGGAGTTTCTTTCAAGATTGAAAATCCTCTGGCAGGTTTTTTTTTTGGGGGGGGGAGAGGATTTTCAATCTTGAAAGAAACTCCCACTACAAATACAAATACTTACTTGCAGAAATACGCAGAGGATTGTCAATAAATCATTCCTTACTTTCCTTGTTGACCAAAAAAGCTACACATAGAAAGTGTTTTTTTTAATGTGTTCTCTATGTTTTACTAGTCATTATCTCCCCGATATGATTTCATGATGCTACAGTGCTATTAAGTTTTTTGGTCTTTTCTATTTTCGTTGGTTTTTAATGTGTTGTAGTGCTGTGCTTTTTCATCTTTTTTATTTTCGTTGGTTTGCTACAGTGTTGTTAAGTTTTTACACAGTGCCCGATAATGTTTTGAATGTAACTAAGTTAAGTGAGTAAAATTTAATGTAACATAAAATATTGTTTTTTTAAAATAAAAAAAATCAGGGATTCAGGGCGGGTTTGGGAGACAACCCCCGACGGGGATGGGGATTACCCGAAAATTCTTATCAGGGAAAGGGCAGGGATGGGGAGCAGGGGTATTACCATACCAAGCCCCAAACCGGCTCGTTGCCATCTCTAGTACCTGTGTATCTTAAAGATCGGATCAAAATTTCTCTCATCATCCTCTACCTTATGGTCAACTAGGCAAGTATTTACTTTATCGGCATTTGATGGACATACCTCTGTTCTAATATTAGCCTGTGCAGGTGATTTTGGAGAAGGCTGCAAGAAATGACAATCCTGACATTGACAAGTAGTTACCTGTTCACTCTGTGCTTAATCTTCTTGATTTGTATTTCATTTATACTCAGAAATTCGTCAAAAAAAGGGAATCGAAGGCGTGCAGAAGACCCATTAGTTGGTTGCACATTTGGAATATAAGATCTAGAAGGGTGGTAAGAATTTCAACAAGTCAGTTATGTTTTTAATCACCTAACTATGCTTCTAGCTACAGAAGTCACTATTAAAAGAAAATGAACAAAATATGCGTTGTCACTCATATGTAATTGTGCTCTCGTCACTCTCATCCTCAACCGGGTGCTAGGCCTGATTATCAAGTAGCTGGTCCTCAACCACTTGTAGATCCATGGGGTCCTCAACCACTGGCAGATCCATGAGGTCCTCAACTTCAACTACTGGCGGATCCACTGGGTCCTCATCCTCTAGAAGATTCTCAACTGGAACTGGATGGGCCTCTGCTGGCATATCATCAATCGGGTGCAAGATAAAATCTCTGGCATTTATCCTTTCAATCATCATATTCATGACCTCCTCCCAATGCCTCTGACTGAGACCATGGGTGAATAAAACAACATCGTGAAATTGATAACAGTAGTCGTACTCGTCTGGAACATCATACTCTAGTAATGGATTACCCTCCAGCAAAAGTAATATAGCATCCTCCAGCTCCTGGACACTTTGATGGTTTGCAACATTAATCTGTCCTATGTAATGATCCATTCCATCAAAAGTCTGTCGATTTACTCTAGCCAACCCTTATCCCCAGCCCCATCTCCTCCCCGGCTGCCCCTATTTTCCTCCTCATCATGTTGGCCCCTGTCATGATCCTGTTGAAATGAGACAGCCGCATTAAATAGCATGCGTAATAATATCCTATTGAAACTTTATACTTTCAATAATCTTGTTTGTGCATATGTATGCTGGTTAATAGGGCGTCTTCTTCATTTTATGAAGTTTCATGATTTGGAAATTTCACTAATGCACATGTATGTTGGTTAATAGGCTCGTCTTCTTTTATTTTATAAAATTTCAGTAGGATCTACTTGCCAGTTAATGGGCTTGTCTTTTTTATTTTATAAAGTTTCAATAGGATATTATTACGCATACTATTTAATGTGGTTGTCTTGTTTCAACAGGATCATGACAGGGGCCAACATGATGAGGAGGAAAATAGGGGCAGCGGGGGAGGAGATGGGGCTGGGGATCAAGGGCTGACTAGAGTAAATCGACAGACTCCTGATGGAATGGATCATTACATAGGACAAATTAATATTGCAAACCATCAAAGTGTCTAAAAGTTGGAGGATGCTATTACTGTTGCTGGAGGGTAATCCATTACTAGAGTATTATGTTCTAGATGACTACGACTACTGGTATGAATTTCATAATAATATTGTTTTATATGAGAATACCCATGGTCTCAATCAGAGGCCTTGGTAGGAGGTCATGAATATGATGATTGAAAGCATAGATGCCACATATTTTTACTTGCACCTGATTGATGATCTGCCAGTAGAGGCCCATCCAATTCTAGTTGAGAATCTTCCACAGGATGAGGACCCAGTGGATCCGCCAAAGTTGAAGATGAGGACCCCATTAATCTACTAGTGTTTGAGGACCCCATGGATTTGCAAGTGGTCGATGACCAGCTAGTTGATAATTAGGCCCAAAACCCGGTTGAGGATGAGTGACGAGAGCACAATTGCATATGAGTGACAACACATATTTTGTTCATTTTCTTCTAGTAGTGACTTTTGTAGCCAGTAGCCAGAAGCATAGTTGGGTGATTAAAAATGACAACATTGACAGAGGTCGAACCAATTTATTAAAACTTACATCCTTGTATTCTTCTTTCCCCTTCTCTTTCTCAGGAGCAGCTGAGGGAGCTGAAGGGACAGCACTGCATGAAAATAATACCAAAACGAAAGTTATTATTCAAAATTAAGATTCCATCTTCATTGATAGAGGAAAAGAGCATTACATACAAAATTAAACATGGTTTTCACATATTTAATCCCCATTGCTATGGTAAGTGTCTTTTCAGTTGTCTCTAATCATTATTGGAGCAGACTGTCCAATTAATGCATGACCAAAATGCCAATTAAACAACAATTTAAGTATGAACAACCATGTTTGTAACACTAATTTCCCAAAAGATACAGGTCCAATCAAAGTTGCTATTAAGATTCCAAATACACTGACTGAGAACGTAACCAATTTCAGGCCAATTCACAATATCCTAAAAACATAACTTAGTAACACTAAACTCATTTAATCTGGTTATGATCACAAAAATACAAAACCATTCTTGAACAGATTTTGCAAAATGCGTGTAAATGCACACTCTGTAAATGCGGAGGCTCGGAATTCCCATGATGAAATCTCCTTTACCATAGACCAGAACATAACCCAATTCCTCATTCAGACAAATAACATCTAATCCAGTATATCTTGAACCACAATTACAGTCAGCAGTAAACCACGGATACCGCCAAGATTGGAGATTGACAGGCTAAGACTGAGGGTATCGAAATGAGAGAGAGAGAGAGTTAGAGGAGGCTGAGATCATCGAAATGAGAGAGAGAAAGAGAGAGTTAGAGGCTGACCTGACGTGGCTAGCTGGCTGAGAGAGCTGAGCGTCGAGTCGAGAAGGAAGAAGACATTTTCGACAAAGAACGAAGTTGTTTTCGAATTGACACCCCACTAAAACCTTTCAGGTTTTTAAAATTACACAAACGCCCTCATAAGATTTCAAAACATTACACATTAAAAAATAAAAAAATAATAAAAATTAAGTTGCTTTTAAAATTAGCTTGTTGATTAACTGGTCAAAATGTAGGGTAAGATAGCTCTAGCATTCGGTGAGTTACTTCGGAAGCTATGGGCGCCTGGACGAACACCGGTTGCTCCTCGACCTTTTAAAACAAAACTTGCTCGTTTTGCACCTCAGTTTAGTGGTTACAATCAGCACGATTCTCAGGTTTGGTACTTGGCACTATGTTTTCAGCAGCGTACCCACATGCAATTTGGATGAACTTAAAAGCTAATTGTTGTTTCAGGAGCTTTTGGCATTTTTGCTAGATGGTCTTCATGAAGATCTGAATCGTGTGAAACACAAACCATATGTAAAGTTTAGAGATGCTGATGGCAGGCCTGATGAAGACGTAGCTGATGAGTATTGGGCAAACCACATTGCTCGTAATGATTCTATAATTGTTGATGTCTGCCAAGTGAGTATGTCATCGAAAAATTATGTCAAAAAATTGCTGGTTAATGAAACCTGTATTTCTTACTGTAATTATGACAAACTTGAGGGGTCCAAGTTGAATTTTTCCTTTTTTCAATGATATCACACTTCCTTATATTAATTTTTTATTTCAATTGTCGAAAATAGATCATGAATACCTTACATGTCCAAAAAAAACCTTATAGTCCATCCTTCCTAGTCTTCAGAAATGAATAAAGGACCCACAAAAATTTATAAAGTTATAAAAGAAGCATGTGTTTTTAACTCAAGTACTTGAAAATATTTAAAGATAATTTTTACCATGTTGACAAGGGTTCAAATCCCAGGCCTTGCAAGCACGCGATGGATTTTCTTAAATAATTTTTGACATGTTCGTATTTATTGTGCAATATTATCGAAATTATTGCAACGTATTTAATAAATAAATCAACATAATGAAGGAAAATATCAAGGTCAGAATTCAAAACTATAATATCAAAATTATCACAATAACTAGATAGTATTTCGCCAAAATATTGCCAGCTCAAAAAAATAATATTTTCATCGAATAGCAACAAGGACATGGATATTTTACTATGATAGTAATTAACAAATAGCAACAAGGACATGGATATTTTATAGTAAACAAACACATTTTCAACATAAAATTTAAAAAAAAAATTACAGACATGACACTTCTAAGAACACTACAGTTCTTCTAATCAAGTTGTCACTAGCTTTACGAGACGAACATGCCTAAGCCCCAGCTTGACTTGTCTCTTAAACAAACCGAGCATGGCTTTAGTTTGTTTCGATTACAAAACGAGGGTTTGCAAGAAATATAGATGCCCTAGAGAGGCTAGTTTTTTGATTAAACAGAGTCGTCACCTCACCTACACAGGATTGGACCACATTTTTAGCAGCTAGCATCAGCATCTTCAGTCGCAACACGCCGATAAAAGAGTACATACGCAGCTCCTGACTTCACCTCTTCTTCATTTATGGGCGATACACAACTGTCATCAAAACTATACCACCTGTTCTCATCTAGAAGCTGTACAACAATAACAGTCGATAAGAAGATTTATACCAAATGCAGCTGATATTTCAACCAAAGAAATCCTTCCAGATACTCACCTTGATATGCGCAGTGTAGTGCCCGCTACCCATTCCGCCGATGTGGTTGGTCAAGGCATAGAGTTCATAAAGTTGACGTCGAGCGTTTTTCTTGCTAGCTACGTAATTTGTTAGATCAAAGTCATGAATCGGAAAGTCGACAAAGGTTTCCAGTTTATGCTTCATCGACCTACTGTATGAGAACCTCTTTAGATGGATGACTAACACTTCTGGAAGCCTCCATAGATCAAGCTTTTTACTTGCTTGCCTTCGCTCCTTGCACTGGGGACAGTACCTTCACCGTATATTTTATTAATAGGTCATATTTCGTAGATGAATGGCAATGTTTCCTCTTTTAACAAAAGGAACTAACTAGACGGATGACTCTTTATCAGATACCAGCATAATATTTTGACAGTTTAGATACTTTGCCAGACTACAACCACAGAACTATTTTATACTAGAAATTTAAAAATGCTTCATTCTAAAGTTGCTTCATAAAGCTCAAAAATCTGGCTCCCTAATTACAAGTTTTTAACAACTCATTCATCTGTAAAATAGCAATTGTAAGGCATTTGCAATCATGTAACAATTGCACTCAAATTCCGAAAGAAAATACTCGCACCATCTTCTGTAGCACCAAAGGTGGTATTCTCACAAAAAGTTCTAGCAAATCTAGGCCCCTTGATCACCATCAATTTCGCATTCATCAGACATATAAATTTATACTTATGCACACATTCTCCTGTCCAAACACCCAGATCTTTAATACAAAACTCCTGATCTCCAAACAAAACCAAATGTACCAAATGGCTAAGTGATGCGCCTTATAAAATTTATCATTGAGTCAATCTATATGTGGTATACACTCTCAATGCCATTCAATCATTCTTTACTTTTGGTTACTTTCCTATTTGTTTTCTTTTGTTTATTTCTCTTTCCTTTTTCTAACTTTCATCTCTCTCACCTCTTAGTACAGGAGAATGTGTGTGTGAGACACGTCTTCGAAGTTCAGATGAAATTGACACTGCCAAACAATTTGAAAAATAAAACTATTCGGTTCATCCCACAATGCAGAAAACCATAAATTTCCTTCTAATCCATCATTGATACATGGATATATAGTTATCATTAATCTGCTTGTTAAGCAGGATACTGCTCCATCCAAATAGCACGTCTTGATGTTCAAAGGGCACATTAAATGTGAATAAAATGTGTCCGTTTAGGTCTTAGCTCTAGGGTTTTGGTTGCACAAAACCCAGGAGCTAAGCCCTAAATGGCAATTCAACACCGAAAAAATAATAAACCCTCTAGGGGAGAGCTAAGCCCTAAACGATTCTACACCCTAATTAATATAAAAAAGGCATTGGATCCCGCACACACCTGAAGCCTTGTGTAGTTACCTATAATTCTATATTATCATTTGGGTGACTTTGAACACACACACACACACAGAGAGAGAGAGAGAGAGAGAGAGAGAGAGAGAGAGAGAGAGAGAGAGAGAGAGACTAACCACATATCTTCAGGTACTAGTGGTTCTTCCCGTAGAAAAGCTTCAAGGCAGGTGTACAACGAGAGAGGTTCAGTGCGGGCTTTCTTTGTTACAGGTCCATACTTAAAAACTTCTGGCAAGTTTTCCAGATAATGGGTGTCATACTTTTCTAAAAACTTCTGTGACCAATCAACATATATTAGTATTGATGTTGATGATGAGGCCAGTCTGATGGCTTTCTCTACCCCCACCCATAGATCAGTACATGTATTATTTTCTCCAACCAACTGAAGAGGCAATTCTAGAGAAGACACTGGTTTAGAACTAGTGATATCCTTATTTGCTGAATTTGATACAACAGAATCAGTACATGCTTCGCCGGAACACAAGTCAAGAGAGGGGTCTGATCCTTCTGTTGCAGACATTACACCAGATATCTTAGTATGCTCCAAACTTTTAGTTCTAAGCATTGGAGAGAGCATTTTATGAACCATCATCAGTATGTTGCCTCCAATAATTTCATCATCACATGAGATTGGCAAGACAAGAGGTGTTCCATAGGGTTTCCATCCTGATGTGATCTGCGAATCACTATTTCCTCTAGGAGACGATTAAAAGTTAGCAGAAGAAGCTATAAAATGATCAATCTACCAGATAACTCCAGAAAAACAAGTGCAGTTGTTTATAGTTCAAAGTGAAAGACAAATCAACACCACATCAATTTTGTTGTTTATGATTCAAAATGAGAAAGACAAGTCAACACCACATTAATCATTTTACACGCTGCTCTGACTAGGAAAATGTGACAAACTGCTTTCGGAAAAACGACATTTTTGCAGTCTTGACTAAACAACCAGCCTTTTTTCAGGATACATATAAAAATGGCTAAATTAGTTAAGCACAAAATGATTAAGATCAGGGACTAATCAAACAAGGAAAACACGGGAATCAAACTTGGGGTGAGTGGGTGACAGCCTTTCTAAGCACAGTGCAGACTATAAGGTCAAGATCAAAGTATACATACTGCTCTCGACGGCGGTGTATGAATTGAAGATATTTTGTGTTTGCCAACTTTGGAACCTTAAAAGCAGCAAGATGGTCGTCATCTTTGATGGTAGATAATGATATTAATGGGTCTTCTAAAAATCTCTGAACCATATGGTGTTGTATCTGTGAACCACAAATTGAATAAGTTCAACGAACCATACACATTCCAAAAGAAGAACAGAAGCATCAGATTCCAAATGTAAATGCTACAGACCTCCACAAGCAAAAGCTTCTCACTGTGCTTTACAGAACTAGCATTGCTAAGCATCTGGATCAAGTCCCTGTAACGTCCCTGTTTGGGGACTGTGACAGTACAAGCAGATGGCAATGCACTTCCATCGCAAGTAAAAACTGTTACTGTCATTGTTCTAGTGGTGGTGGACTGGAGTGGCAATGAAAGGTACATAAAAGGATCAAAAGTAACAGAGACTTTATTGCAAATGGGACAAACCAAAGTTGACTTATACTGGCCCTGTAAAACAGGAAACATCATAACCGTGAGGAAAAACTATTTTGTACTTTATATATGGATTGAAGTAATGAAGTTTTAAAAACACATTCTGTAGGAGCGTTTCATTAGGGGATTTATGCTGAGCAGACATATAAAGGCAATCTTGTTAGCACTTATCAAACAATATTTTCTTAGTCCTTATAAGCACAGCCAAAAATTTCATTTATACAAACTACCAGGATAAGCATTTCGATTAGGATCCAGATTCAGTAAAAACATATCTACATTTGAAAATGCCAAGCCATGACTCACCGACCTTCATAGCATCAAACAGTAAGAATAGGATTTTATTTTGATAAATGAGATACAAAATCAGGAAGCTTCTAATTGGTGCATCATATAATGTAATCAAAAAAATAAATTCAAAGAAAAGTCAAAAACCATCATTTGCTTATTCCATGAATAGAATTGTCAGAACAAGTAGCCATAGAATTAGCCCACTAGGTGAAGAATCAGACAAGGGTAAGGAAACACTTACAAAGTTCAAACCTAGATTTACAACCAACATATTTAAACTCAGGCACCAGCTAAGCCAAATGAGTGGCAAGTTGCCATATACTGGTTTGGAAACACTCATGATGAGATTTTGAGGTTGGAGCAAAAACCTTAGGATTGTATGTCATCCTGGAAGTGTCACCTAATGTTAACTAAGTGTTGCATGTGACTCTGTGGCAGCAAATCAAAACAATTAGTATGTCAACAGACAACAACTTAGAACTTTAAAGAGGAAAATTCAAGAGGTATTTAACAAAAAATAAAAATAACTTCTATGTTTCTGTCTAACTCAGTCAATAACATAAACTTACCTGTGGTTTGCTTAAACAGCACACGCTTCCCTATCAAAGTTTCAAATAACAGGCCCCACATTTGAACTTTTCAGATGTGATGCTAACCTCCAGAAGTTAAGGAGCTGTCACTGGTCATCAATTTGCACTCTACCACATCCCCGACTTTT